CCCACCATCTGTGCATACTACAGTCATTTGAAGATTGACAGGTAATCTCGGTGTGTTAATCAGCATATGTGCACTCAATTTCAGCCTTCATCACTAACATAACCTTGTTAAGATGTTTACATAACACCTGCTATAATTTCAGTATATTGGTTAATGTGGATATAATGAAATGATCAGTGTGTGTTGCAGCACACTCAGCAGGTTGAACACCAACATTAAAGATGTCCGACATACAGGAGAGCTGTGACTCAACACAGACCCCCCTCATTTGATAATGAATTACTTTTATGAATAATACATTTGATATTACATTACATTACATTGCATTTAGCTGACGCTTTTATCCAAAGCGACTTACAATAAGTACATTCGACCACGAAGACACAACCTTGAAGAAAACAGAATCATATAAGTACATCAGGTTTCATAGAGCCAAACATTTCAAGTGCTACTCAACTGGCTTTAGGTAAGCCAGTCCTTTATTAGTATAAAAGTGCTTCGTTAATAGTTCTAACGCTCGAAGTGGAGTCGAAAGAGATGAGTTTTCAGTTTGCGCCGGAAGATGTGCAAGCTATCTGCCGTCCTGATGTCAATGGGGAGCTCATTCCACCATCTTGGAGCCAGGATAGCAAACCCACGTGTTTTCGCCGATGGGAACTTGGGTCCCCCTCGCAGCGAGGGCGCAACGAGTCGTTTGGCTGATGCAGAGCGTAGTGCACGCGCTGGGGTGTACGGTTTAACCATGTCCTGGATGTAGGAAGGGCCAGATCCATTCGCAGCATGGTAAGCAAGTACCAGTGTCTTGAAGTGGATTCTAGCAGTTACGGGAAGCCAGTGAAGGCAGCGGAGGAGCGGAGTGGTGTGGGAGAATTTAGGAAGGTTGAAGACCAGATGAGCCGCTGCATTCTGGATGAGCTGCAGAGGTCGGATGGCACATGCAGGTAGACCAGCCAGGAGGGAGTTGCAGTAGTCTAGGCGTGAGATGACGAGAGCCTGGACCAGAACCTGAGTCGCTTTCTGAGTCAGCTGGGGACGTATCCTCCTGATGTTGTAAAGCGTGTATCTGCAGCAACGGGTTGTAGCAGCGATGTTTGCAGTGAAGGACAGGTTGTTATCTAGGGTCACACCCAGATTCCTTGCAGTCTGAGTCGGGGAAACAACTGAGGTGCCGATGTTGATTGTTAGGTCAAGAGTGGGACAATCTTTTCCCGGAAGGAAGAGCAGCTCAGTCTTGTCAAGGTTGAGCTTGAGGTGATGAGCAGACATCCACTGAGAGATGTCAGCTAGACAAGCAGAGATGCGTGCGACGACCTGAGTCTCTGAGCGGGGAAAGGACAGAATTAATTGGGTGTCGTCAGCGTAGCAGTGGTAAGAAAAACCATGCGGGCTAATGACTGATCCGAGCGAGTTTGTGTACAGGGAGAAGAGGAGGGAACCAAGAACAGAGCCCTGAGGGACCCCGGTAGTTAATTGACAAGGGTCGGACTCAGACCCTCTCCAAGTCACCCTGTAGGTACGGTCTTTCAGGTATGAGGTGAGGAGGGAAAGTGCAGAGCCTGAAACTCCAAGTTTTTGGAGAGTGCGAAGGAGGATCTGATGATTCACCGTGTCGAATGCGGCAGACAGGTCCAATAGGATGATGACAGAGGAGAGGGATGCAGTTTTGGCAGTGTGCAGTTCCTCCGTGACAGCAATGAGAGCAGTTTCTGTGGAGTGACCTGCCTTGAAACCAGACTGGTGCGGATCTAGAAGGTTGTTCTGATTGAGATAACAGGAGAGTTGTTTAAAGACAGCGCGTTCAAGTGATTTAGACAGGAACGGGAGGAGAGAGACAGGCCTGTAGTTTATAACATCAGACGGGTTGAGAGTGGGTTTCTTTAGGAGAGGGTTTACTCTTGCCTCCTTGAGACTGTTTGGAAAGTGACCAGAAGTTAGAGAAGTGTTGATGAAATGGGTGAGAAACGGTAGAATATCAGGAGCGATAGTCTGAAGGAGGTTTGAAGGGATAGGGTCCAGAGGACAGGTGGTAGGGCGGGCAGAGGTAATGAGGGTAAGAACCTCACTTGGAGAGAGAGGGGAAAAGGAGGTAAGTGTGTTGGTGGAAGGAGGGTCTGGTGACCCAGCGGTGAGTAAAGGTGAGTCAGAAAAAGAAGAGCGAATATCATCAACCTTTTTTTCAAAGTGGGTAACAAAGTCGCTTGACAGAAGTGAGGAGGGGGGAGGGGCTTTTGGAAGGTCCAAGAGGGTGGAGAAGATGGAAAATAGTTTTTTAGGATTGGAATAGGAAGATTGGATCTTATCTTGAAAGAAAGTGCTTTTTGCCTGAGAGATCGAAGCCGAGAAAGAGGAGATGATATGTATTGCTTTTCTTTCGTATTGGCTAAGAGTAGGCATATGGTGTTGAATAGAGCTGTTCTTAGCTGTTCCTAACTTCAGACATTTAGGCAGCAAAATACACAGATTTCATATTATCTAGATTAGCAAATGTGCACATCACTGGACATACGGTCAACATAAAGCTGGTACTATTGTATGACAGAATATGCAGTCTGAATGAATTAGGTAAAATAAATGGATTTATATGATCAATTGTTCACGTGTTCATTAGATTGTTGTCAACTCCAGAGCCAAAGTATATCAACAACGTTTCTTCTAACTTTTCATGTACAGTATAGGCATTTGGTTCAGTCACAAACTGAAACGTTGACTTTGATTAAATGTATTATGTGAACACATTTCACATAACTGTATTAGGTAAGTTGAAAGCAATAATATTAAGTTGAACATATTTTAACGTCATATTATTGCTTTCAACTAACCTTATGTGAAATCTGTTGACATAATACATTTAATTAAAGTCACATTTCAGTTGTTTCAGTGTACAGTACTATAGGCCGTAGATCAATGACAAAGCAACCCTGTCTCCTAAAAAGTACGTTCCCACAGAACTAAACTGCATTCTCAATTACGTTTAGCTGAAAACGTATTTTCTCCCACGTTACGTTTGTTATGAACGTATCTTAAATACGTTTATTTTCTACATATCTTTGCCATTTATCGTCTTATAATAATGATAATAGTCATTTATAAATATCATTTTAGAGCACACATTTGAAATCAGTAGGCGAGGCTGTAATTTCTCCAGCTGTAACTCTCATGAGCGAGGCGGAACATAATAGTTTGAACATGCCAAAAAGCTGCTGTGTCGTTTATTGCACCTCAAACATTAAAACAAATCCAGAGTTACGTGTTTCTGTAATTCCTCTAAGAAGAAAGGACAGTAACAGAAGATCTCTGTGCCTTCAGGCTTGATCGCCGTTCAAATGACAGCGTTGGTTTCCCCAAAAGTGGGCGGGGCTGGAAAGTGACGTAGATTTTACTCTCATCTATCGATCGCCTGCTATATTTAAACATATATCGAGCCCGATCGTCGATTTCCAATGATTTAATGTAATTGTTTGCCACTCTGGCCATTGTAATCGGGCTCTTTGAATATCCAAAAATCCATGGTTTTCTTAAAGGAGACCTATCATGCTATATTTGAATAATATATTGTAGGGCCATACCTAAATAAGGTATATTTATACGTTTTCTTTTTCAAAATACCAAACAGATCATGCATTTTAGCCATGCCTCATTTCGCTCTATTTTGCTCTCCTCCACCCTGTCTTTGCATGCGCTGCAGCTGACCACGCCCCCTGCAAAGGAGGGGCCGAGTTACGAGCGTCATGTTACCATGCTGTTACCATGCTGTTACCATGCCACGGCAATATGGGCATAGATATGTCTCATAATTATTTGTGTGAACATAAAAATAATTAGTGTGTAAATATGTGATATGTAAATGTAAAACACCATTCACAAATGCATTTTTAAAAGATTTGCAAACTCACAAATAAATGTGCAAGTGTAAAACGGATCTGCAAATACGCTAAATATTTTCTGTGAATATCTCTTTAACATTGACAACTTTCGATCAGGCATTTGTACGGTGGCCGGCAGGTGCAAACGCTAAACAACGGCCAAAAACACACACATAAGCAGGAAACACCTGCAAATAATGAAATGAAAAACCAACAAACCCCGAAAACACATACAACAGAAAAACACTGCATTTACAGAAATGATGCAAGCTAAACCTACAACACACAAACCCCGAAAACAAACGCAACAGAAAAATGCTGCAAATACAAAAACTATATGCAAAGTCAAAAGCACATACAACCGAAAAACACGTTACAAAAAAAAAAGACATTACAAAAAAAAAACATTCCGGAAGTGCTTCAGGCCTCTAGGGGGCGCGCTACGTGGAACAGATCGATGTATGACCAGACATAGAGAGAACGAACAAGAGGAAAGAAAGTTCATTTAAGTGGAGAAAGATATAAGAAGGTACGTTTTTTTTTTTTATACATAGAGCATCATATTTACGTAGCTAGCGTTAGCGTGTTTGATCAAAGAGCTTGCAAGAGCCATTGTGCACCTAAATGTAACTCTTGACATAATATAGATATAGTATAGAACCGGAACGCCCCTCCCTACACGCAGATCACACAGACTGGGTGGGGTCTCACGCCCTCACCTCGTGGAGTGGGCCTCAACTGAGCCGCAAATGCGATGCGGTGATAAAAAGGAAATCAAATGTAAAAAGTTGAATTAAAATATTAAAACAGCAACACAATATTATTCCCACATGAAAAGCCAGTCTGAAGAGGTGTGTTTTGAAGGTGGGGGGGTCGGTGCAGTCTCTGATGTTTAATGGGAGTGAGTTCCAGAGGGAGGGGGCAGCGATGGAGAAAGCTCTGTCCCCCAAGGTTCGGTGCTTGGTTTGTGTGGGGATAGACAGGAGGTTGGCTTCTGATGAGTTAATTGAAAGACCGTTCTTTAATACTATTATAATATTTAGGTAGCCGAAAAATATCCACTCTTTTTGACTTAACCTAGCTGTCCTACATTTTATTTCTCCACAGATGTACTGTCCATTCTGTGGGTCCAGCGTGACATCTTCGCATGGCTTTTGTGGTGTCTGGCAGAGACATCACATTTCTAAAAGATGTGACTAACAAAGTCCCTGAGGAGATGCCCACCACTAGTGCGCATCTAAGTGCACAGCCTAGCACCAGTGCAGGTAAATAGGTTGTTCGTTTTATTACCAAACAATAAGTATTTATAGAAAACTTGGTTTAAAAGTTCAAATTCTGTTATTATACAAATACATCTCTAAACTATGTGGCTTACCTACTGTTGAATGTGTTATAAGATGTTCCTCAGAAGGGATTGAGGATGAGACTCCTATTGAACATAATGAAGAGTAATGAATGTTTTATTCCTGTTTGTTTGTAGCAGGAAGCTCAGCTGTAGAGTCCTTTCAGAAATATAGGGAAATAAAAAAGAGGGAGAGACCTTTTTTACAAAGGGACGGCATAACTCCAAAAATAAACAGAAATTGGTGAAGGTTTTCTATTATGAATACATTGTCATTCAAATCTGCTCACCACACTCTCATATAATGTCCAAAAAAATGTTTTATTCATTTGCATATTATTGTCTTTTTGCAGATTTCTGTTGGAGTAATGAGGAGGATGGATGGCTGCCTTAAACCCGTGAGAGGGAGGTCACTTCCCCTTAATGTTGAACCTCAATGGGCATGTGAAGAACTGTTGGCTGCTGCCATATAAAAGCAGAAAGCCTTTAACCAGGACTTGGAAGATGGTGCCCATGTCATGTTGTACCCTGATGCGAGGGTGATAACAAATATCCGCGGAACGGACACCCCTTTCACAGTACAGATGTACAAAGAGGCCATTGGAAAGCCCTACCAACGAATTACGTTGTACATCTGTACTCTTGAAGCCGTTGAAAACAGTTGTAAGTGCTTCTGACATATATTCCCCCTTGTTTAAAGCACTAAACTGTATAATAGTTCAAATGTAAACATAACAGTTGTTCTGTCTATATTTCTTAACACAATTCATTCCACCCATCATTCCTTTCTCTTCGTGGTTGAACTTATGACGTCAAATGGTCTTTTATGAATAGTGGCAGAAGAAATGGAATTTAAGTATCAACAAAAGCTTCCAAACTTTCCTTCTGTTCAAACTAAATATAAATTCCCTCTTAAGGATTGTAATTCTAAATGAACCTTTTTTCTCACAACAATGTTGGGTTGTTGTGCCCCAATGTAAATCCTAATGTGAGAGTGAAAAAGACGGTCAACAATATAATGTACATTTCACAAACATTTTGTGTTTCGATTGAATCCTTTCTGATTGATGTCAATCCAATAATTCAGGATTCAAACCAACATTTGATGATAGGTACAGACGTAGGGGAACAATTATTTGTATAGTATTAATCATGACACTTTTATTTTCTTAGGTTACACTGGAACAACCTCTTCAAGTGACGAGGACAGTGTGGTTGTTGCAAAGTTGCCATCTGGAGACAGTCTTGCTGACACCGTGGTCAGTTTGGATCTATCGTGGCATCTATTCTTAATTAAAGTGAATTTATTTTATTTCAGTCAGTCATTTGTGTGTTGTATGCAGGTGTGGGACTTTCCAAATGAACAGAGCACTCCCAGAATGGACAACAGTTTGCAGGGTAAAATAAAACATTGTTAACATATTATGTTGTGCCACAAGAAGCAGAATGTTTTAACAGTACAGTAGTTTGAATATATTTGTTGTTTACCTTTATCAGACCTCTCAGGCACCCACAACCAGCGTCTGATCGGGTAAGACTAATTAAACATGTAATTATACCATGTAGGTTTGAGTTTGTGAACATGAAATCAATAAATACCTTTGTGTGCTAATGACACTGTCATTAGATCAACTGCACTTATTTCCTGGGTAAAAGTAGGATGGAGCACCAACCCCATTCCAGGAAGAGGTCCAGTCTGCCCGGGTCAGAACACCTTCTATAGGTAAACGAGGTTGACAGTTGCATCGTGACACAGTTGTTTGGTGTGTATCTTTATTTGTACATGTCTTTGTTTGTATAGCCTCCAATCACAGTGGGTAACATTGCCAGGAAGCAGAACAATTATACTTTCATACATTTCCAAAGGACACCCACAACATCTGACATCTTAGTGAAGACGATACAAAAAACACCCACAGATATTTTTCAAAGATCAGATATTGTTTCTTGCATTCATTTCAAATGTTTACAAGGATTGTGCAGGAGTATGACAAAGTGCTGTTGTCAGTTTAGAACCCAATGTATTAAAAAAACCAGGAAGAAGATCGACATCCTTTTGTAAATATGACTGTCATGCATATATTATGTATTTGAAAGTAATTATTCAACTGTCTTCTCACTGCAGCAACTACACAACTGTATGCACTTATCATTATTGACAGCTAGTCTGAGCCAGAAGAGGAAACGGAGCAAACTGCAGAGGAAATGTATTAAATGTTACTTTTATCACTTCATTTTTTTATTCTATACTGTAAATCTTATTACTAGCTTCATCATTTAATATTACAATACATCACTTTGTCTTTCCCAGCACAGAATACCTCACTGCGCCAGACGTTGTTGCAGAACTCTCTGCAAAAATAAAAAATACCTCTTGCAGCAGGTTTAATATTAACCGATCCAATGTATGGGATGGAGCAATCCGCAGCTTCAAAGGTGCCTCATTCGACCCCTCTCATCAGATGCAGGTTAAGTTTACTGACGATGAGGGACAAACTGAGGATGGAGTGGACACTGGTGGTCCCAAGCGTGAGTTCCTGACCCTCCTAATGGAATGCCTGAGAATGAGAAGAATATTTGATGGTCCACAGGACAGGAAATTCCTCAAGTTCGACAATGCAGGTAATGATGTTCGCAAATCTGTCTTATGTTTAATACTGTTCTGTAAATATAGGAGCTGCTTATGGATTTTGCAGCTTGATTTACGTGACAATTAAATGATCTTATACTGTATATCTTTATGATAACGTGGCAACTGTTGGTTAACGTGATAATAATTGAACAAAAAATATCAACAGCTGCAAAAGATGACGAATACTTTCATGCTGGGAGGATGATTGCAACTTCTATAGTTCAAAAACACAAGGAGAAAAAGAAGAAAACATCATGTCATGGCTCACTGTCTCAAAATCTGATTCTAAATGCATAATGTTCTTTATAAAGATATAACTAATACACAATTATGAATGTATAATATAAGCTGTGTTGTGTATTTAATCATGCATTGGTCTACAATTTAATGATGGCTTCTACATATTTCACATAAACAGACAATGAAAAAATGTGTCCTTCATGCTGATAACTAGTGTATGTATCTGCCAATTAGTATTCTAAACAGAGCAGTGTGTTGAATCCTTATTTCTTGCATTTGAAACAGATACAATACAAAAAGTGAACTTACTGTTGTGTTCAACTTCTGCCAAAAACTGTACATGTTTGCCACAGGAGCCACAGAACACTTGAACTGTCCCTAGATGTTGGCCACAGAAAGGACACAACATGGCGGCCTGAAAAGACATACATTGATAGTAGTAAATCCATTTAATCAAGTCAATCAAAAACACATAGTCTAAATAGTGGTTAGCTAAATAAATAGATACATCATGTTCACCGTTGAATCTGTGATTTGTCTCTCTCTCTCCTTGAATGTCTAATGCACACTACTCTCCTGTCATTACTTTGTCCCTCTTCACATTTTGTCACTTTCTCTCTCTCTCTTTCTCTCTCAATTCAATGCAATAGCTTTATTAGCATGACCATAGTTACAGGCAATTGCTAAAGCTCTGTATAGTTGCAACATCTATACACAAATACATAAATATAAACAAACTGCTAAGAATTCAAATGTCCTTTTTCCGCGGTACTCACTATGGACCGTGTTATTTGCCTGCACTTGATTTGTCATCTCTTTACAATGTTCTTCCCTCACTTTATCTTCTCTTCACGTGAAGCTCTCCTCAGCTGGTGTAGTAGTTAGGCACGCTAACGCTAGCTATATAAATATGACGCTCTATGTATAAAAAACAAAACTTACCTTCTTATATCTTTCTCCACTTAAATGAACTTTCTTTCCTCTTGTTCGTTCTCTCTATGTCTGGTCATACATCGATCTGTTCCACGTAGCGCGCCCCCTAGAGGCCTGAAGCACTTCCGGAATGTTTTTTTTTTGTAATGGCTTTTTTTTGGTAACGTGTTTTTCGGTTGTATGTGCTTTTGACTTTGCATATCGTTTTTGTATTTGCAGCGTTTTTCTGTTGCGTTTGTTTTCGGGGTTTGTGTGTTGTAGGTTTAGCTTGCATCATTTCTGTAAATGCAGTGTTTTTCTGTTGTATGTGTTTTCAGGGTTTGTTGGTTTTTCATTTCATTATTTGCAGGTGTTTCCTGCTTATGTGTGTGTTTTTGGCCGTTGTTTAGCGTTTGCACCTGCCGGCCACCGTACATTTGTGAATCCATTTTCTATTTGTCGACCAAAAATGCGCTTCCGGATCTCAAATCTCTGCTCGTGGATCTCACATTTCTGCTCGTGGATCGTCTTTTTACACACACAGAATTTTGAGACATATTTTCCGCCAGTCTCAGCTAAAATCTACTCGTGTCACTCGGTTATTTTCGGAAACCACGTGATGGCCCGCTGATGACGAGATTTCCGCATGATTTCAAAGTAAGAGCATGATGGTTTGTTTAATGCTCTGTTTTTATATTATAATGAACAGCGGAACGTTAGATGCATTCTTTATCACCATCATCACCATCATCATCATCATCATCATCATCATCATCATCATCATCATCATCATCATCATCATCATCATCATCATCATCATCATCATCATCATCATCATCATGTTATAGTGATACAGTTAGTTTGTGTTATTGGTTCAATATAGCATATATCGAGCACTTTCGTTGATGTTGAAGTGCAGGCTATACGCCACTTTCGGGTCCCGGGGGAGCAGCTGGCAGCGAAGCAGCCCAGATAACACTCTTTCTTCATTGTTTGTTATGTATTCAGTCAAGCAGGTCGAAGTTACAAAGCACTTCACATTTTATTAATCGGCCTAATTTTACTTTACCAGTGCAGTAATAAAGTAATCTGTAGAAAAGCACCGTATTTAGGTTAGCCTTCATAGTAAGGCTACATTAAATGTTATAATATTCATCGTGTCCTTTCTACTATATATGCATATATTCCTGTCTATTGCTTTCATTTGTGTTTAATGTTATTGTGTTTATACTTGTTTCCACACATTTCACAATTTGGGATGAATGAAGTATATATCTATATATGATACCCATCTATCTATCTGTCCGTCAATCTATCTATCTATCTATCTATCTATCTATCTATCTATCTATCTATCTATGTCTGTCTGTCTGTCTGTCTGTCTGTCTGTCTGTCTGTCTGTCTGTCTGTCTGTCTGTCTGTCTGTCTGTCTGTCTGTCTGTCTGTCTGTCTGTCTGTCTGTCTGTCTACCTACCTACCTAACTAGCCTACTAGTTGTTTTGTTTTGTTTTGGAAAGGTTTTGTCATTGTATTGCTCTTTACCGGCACCTGCAGAGCACAGGACTTTACATTGTACTTACAATTTTACATTGTAACTTTGACCCGCTTGACTGAATACACAACAAACAATGAAGAAATAGTTGTATCTGGGCTGCTTCGCTGCCTGCTGCTCCCCCTGGGATCCGAAAGTGGCGTATAGCCTGTACTTCAACATCAACGAAGGTGCTCGATATATGCTGTATTGAACCAAACTAACACAAACTAACTATCACTATAACATGATGATGATGATGATGATGATGATGATGATGATGATGGTGATAAAGAATGCATCTAACGTTCCGCTGCTCATTATAATAAAAAAACAGAGCATTAAACAAACCATCATGCTCTTACTTTGAAATCATGCAGAAATGTCGTCATCAGCAGGCCATCACGTGGTTTCCGAAAATCACCGAGTGACACGAGTAGATTTTAGCCGAGACCGGCGGAAAATATGTCTCAAAATTCCGTGTGTGTAAAAAGACGATCCGCAAGCAGAAATGTGAGATCCGCGAGCAGAGATTTGAGATCCGGAAGCGCATTTTTGGTCGACAAATAGAAAATGGATTCACAAATGCCTGTTCGAAAGTTGTAAATGTTAAAGAGATATTCACAGATCTTTTTTTTAATTGTGAAAATATTTAGCGCATTTGCAGATCCGTTTTACATTTGCACATTTATTTGTGAGTTTGCAAATCTTTTAAATGTATTTGTGGATGGTGTTTTACATTTACAAATCACATATTTACACACATTATTTTTATGTTCACACAAATTATTATGAGACATATTTATGCCCATAAGGCAACCTCTCATTCCCCTGATTGGTGGAGAGTTGGCCATATAGGCGGAGCCCCTGGTCACTGACGTCAGACTATTTTCAAATCTGGATCAGTCTGTATCAGATCCGTTTTTAGAGATTTGGGTATGGAGGAAAAGAGAGAGGCTTGTGTTTTCTGACACTTGGTAAGTTCCCTGACTCACCGGGGACACATATTCATGTATAAAAGACGTACACAAATGCATTTTGCATGATAGGTCTCCTTTAAATTTCTGATCGGATTGGCAAAAACTTGTTTTTTTTATTATCATCCAAACAGCCTCTTTCGCTGGTACATTGAGGCACTGTGGGTTATTCAAAACCATTCTATTTATTCTTACGTAAATTACATGCCAGTGTTTTATCTTTTTATTTAGCGATTTGTTTTTGCATGTTGAACTGGGAATGTTTTCATGTTGAACCGGAAGTACACTTCACTTTGTCTTCCTCGTCCCTTTTACGTTCCAGACAATGCATGGCTCAGCGTAACAGACTGAACAGCGACCCCAGGTGTGTCTACATTGGAATTACATCTTAATTACTGAAGGAAAATACTTGACCTAGTGTTTTTTCACTGGAAGAGTAGCTTTCCAGCGGTTTCTCCTGTGAGACTGTAACCAGGGCACATCAGCCAATATGGCCGCTCAAAGCAGCTTGACTTTACACTGTGTGGGATTGGTGGATTCGTGTGTCCATCAAGGAAATCTCGGCCGGCAGCCATCATGGTCTGAAATGACCAGTGGACATCGAGAAATCACTAAGGACCTACCCACCAAGTAAACAAAACATAAACCACGTGTCTCCCATCAGTTTACGTCTGTGAGGAGAGAGAGAGAGAGACAGAGAAAATGGCTAAAAAAAACTTTACAGTTGCCGACTTCGCTAGAGATTTTTTTCGCTAGCAGCAGTGAAGATAGAGCCTCAGAACGTGAAGTCTTCGACTCTTCTGAAGAAGAATAATACAAAGACAACAACAAGGATCCATTTGGACATGGGTAGGTGTAAATATTACAGTAATAGTGTACTGGCAATGTGTGGGGAATACCGCGAAAATGAACAATAGGTTTATTGATATATATTTTGTATAGATAGTCATGAACTTTTTATTGGACAAAATAGACTCTCCATTAGCAAATGTTTACTCTGTGTTAACGTTATTTTGGTGTGTAAAAGTGAGATTACATGTGTAGATGATTAAATTAATCATGTATTCGTCCCACAACGGAGACATTTACAGTGACATGTTTTTGCCATCGATTATGTTATCATACTGTTCTGTACAGATGAGACTTTGTCATAGATTTATTTATATGTGTGCCTGTTATTATTTGTACCGTCCCGTACAGATGAGACTTTGTAATCAGATGTAGCCTATGTATATGTGTGTCTGTGATTTTATACTGAATGTAAAGTAACTGGAAATACCTGTGTGTGTGTGTGTGTGTGTGTGTGTGTGTGTGTGTGTGTGTGTGTGTGTGTTGTGTGTGTGTGTGTGTGTGTGTGTGTTCCTTCTCCAACCTCCCAAACTTTATTTTTATGTGTGCATTGTTATTTGTGCTTGAGCAACATTTTACTTGAACTTTATTTCAATGAAATTAGTTGTAATTATTGTCCTACGTTTTAATTTGTTTTACAGAGATGTTTCACAGCTGTCTGGGCCTAGTGGCCCACAGGCGGCGTTTATCCAGCAGCCAGAACATCCATCTGTGCCGGCCCCCAGGTCAAGATCTACCGTGGCTCCAGGGCCTTCACCAGAGCCATCACCACCAAGGACCAGCAGACCAGCATCACTACAGCTGCCTCCACCTCCATCTGTGGCTGCCACCAGGTCAAGATACACCTCAGCACAAAGGCTCCACCACAGCCATCACCTTCAACCCAGCCAGCAAGGAGGTCTCATGGAGGTCTCATATAGCACTTGTACCCCCCACCTACACAGCAGCCCATGCACAATCACCCCCACCTACACAGCAGCCAGACCCACTGTCTTGGAAGACAGACAAATACCTTGACACTGTCTTGACATTTATAATGAATAGTTGGTTGAAAGTTCTGATGTTCAATATTGTAAATAGTTAGATTTTCCAGTTTCTTATATTTATATAAATAGTTGGTTGAAAAAAACATTTATAATAAATTGTTGGTTGAAAAAAAAGGTTGAATGCTCAATTTGTATTTGTACACATCACATGAACCTTGGTATGTAATATGAAGTCATTATTCAGTCCTAATGTATCTCAGTCCCTGCTGTGGTGAAAGTAGAGTGATAAACACCTGTTTTACTCAAAATTCAAATTTTTTTAATTTTATTTTAGACATGAATAACACATTTATATACAGTGTAATTCAAATATTTCACTGCTTTTGTGATCCTAAGACTTTGGTAACCTAATCTAAAACACCAAAACAATTCGATCACATGAGTAAATTTGTGTTTTCACAAAAGTTTTGAAGATTTTCCGAAAATCGGATGTCAAATTTTAAGCTTTTGAGCTACTTATCTCATCACACAGTGCTCTAAGGTGAGTAATTTGCATATATAGCAAGACCAGAGATTGTCCTGAACATTTTGATATTTAACACATGTGGTGCAATGTTAGAAGAAATACATTTAAAAGGTGATTTAAGAAAACATCTAAAAATCGAGAAAATACCCTTAGACTCCAGAGGGTTAATGCAGTTGGCTTTTCTTATATTGCTATGAGTTATATCTGAAGCAAAT